TATAAAAATATGTCACGACATTTATTTATTTTTAACATAAATTTTTATATACATATATATATATATATATTATTTTTTTCTAGATATGAAGTAAATTTATGATGGTATTATACGTTTTTCTAGTTCCTTGAGAAATTACTTCTTACTAAACAGGAAAGTTGCATTTTTCAAAATTGAGAAAAATGTATTTTTCTTTCAACAAAACTTAATTTCAGCATTTACACGTGTTTTTATTAATTTTTTTTAAACTGCAGTTTATATAAAGATGATTGATTATTAAGATAATTTTATATAAATACATCATTAGTACCGTCCCACAGGTGGTAGTATAGCATTAACTGGTGTCATTTGTGTCACAGAAAAGATGGATTAAGCTTCTACTTCAGTCTACTTTATGATCTTTTTGTACTTGACATAAAAGCAACAGGAAAAGTCTAATCTTTTCGTACATAACCTTTCACTTAACAATTAAGAACAATATCTACTTATTAGTCCTTTTTTCGAAAAAAAAATGTATACATTAATTATCATAAACGAGATAGAGAATGTCATGGAGGATGAGGAGGAAGAAGGGGAAAGAAGGAGAAAAGGGGGAAAACTGAGCAAGTTCACGAAAACAAAAATTCACTGTAACGTTTCTAATGATGAAAACTTGATCAGATTTTAAACAAAAAATAAAATCTCTGGAGGTTCTTAATGATGGCTCATAATGATGTGTTCCTTCAAAAATCTTGGACTCTACGTAACAAAAATCATTAATCAAAGATATCCCAAGACACACGACAAAAATAAACAATTCTGATGATTTTTATTTTTTGTTGATTTTTGAAATTCTCAAACGAATGCCTGGTGGTCAATTGTGTTATCTAATCCTTCGTCTTTTGATAAAGTCCTATCTATTTAAAAGGAAATAGGATATCGTGACACAAATTGATCATCAATTTAAGCTCCAAAAATCGATTCTTCCTTCTGGAAAGATAATGGTCGAAGTAATTTGTGATCGGCATTGCCTAAGGTTGAAGAACTCGACACAACAAATTAAGAAATGTTATAATTCCACATATAAAACAAATTCCGTATCTTAATGATTAATTTTTTAATGAGTTTTGGGCGTGTTTTATCCTAGAAAATCGCGAGCAAAACCTTTCATGCCATCGTTATCAATTTTTCTAAAGATCCTAAATGATGGCAGAAATCTAACCTATAAAGTCCAGGATTTTCAAAGTAATCTTGCTTCCAAATTTGATCTGTTTATTATCTTTCATGGCCCAAAATTAGAAAGGTAATTCGATAATATTAACAATTTTTTTCACAAATAATTATAGATTTTGAACCCAAAGTTTTATACATTTAAAATATAAAAAAAAAAAAACAATTTATATAAAAACGAAGCAATTTATCTCCATTAATTCAATGCTTTTTACAAGTCAAAAATTCGAAAATCTGGATGTCAAAATATAGATTTATTTTGTTGTAGAAAGTGTTATTTTTTATTTGGAAAACTTCTCCATCAACTTGTTGATATAATGACAGATAATCAATAAAACTAATCCTGTGTGATACAATATCGACAACCTATTCGAAAACAGTAAGAAATAATACTTTTTTCACACTCAAGCAATTTTTAATAATAAGAAAAAAAACACATACACACACACATATATATATTATTTTCGAATTTAATTTGATAAAAGGTAATTTTGTACATTCTCAAGAAAAGTAATGGCTAATTTATTTGTAAGTGATTGAAACTGTTGCCATGACATCACTTGCCGGTAGATCTATTTACAATTCTCTTTCAATTATTGTAACAGCTACTAACTAATACCACAAACCTACCAAAATAATCTAATCTAACCTTCAAAGAAACAAGTTGTTTTTCTTTTAACTTCCTTTTCTTCGCTAGTCTCAATAGACGTCATTCATTCGATACATAAAAAAAGACAAGTAAGTTCAATGGCAAGAAAATATTTTTATGAAAACAATTTTATATAATATGCCAATCAAAATATTCTAACCACCTCAAACCAAGGAAAAAAAAAGGAGAGAAATTTATATTGAATTAGCATTTTCAAAAAAATCTCTTGTGTTTTACAGTAGTTAATTATGTATTCTGGCACGACTCGATCTACTTAACCGAAATTATAACCATTCATTAACTGTAAGCAGTCAAACTTAGTAGTAATTAGTTAAAACTCATTATTATATCCATTATTCTAACAGCTGACGTGTGGATTGTTGGATATAAGCTAAGAAAATATCCCTGAAGAATTAACTTTTAAGAGTGATATCGAGTAATAACGTGAATGATATATTCTTCCCTTTTTTAAACGGTTACTTTAACCAAAATCTTTTATATATATATATATATATATAGATATAAACTATAAAATTTCTTTTTCCCCATTTATTATTTTTCCCCCTGTTATTACGTTTAAGCTGACCTAAGGAATAAATTGACCAAAGATCTGAAGAAAAATGAATTACTTCTGTCATTTGGACATGATTTCTCTTTATAAGAGATCAAGTTACTGATAAACAAAAAATATTCTTAGCAGAAACGACGTAGGATATTTAAATTAGATCAAGAAGTTTCCAATAAAAAAAGGAAATTTAATTCTTTTTTTTTTCTTCTTCTTCTTCTTGTTCGTTTTTCTACACGAGAACTAGTCTTGTTAACATATTCAGATAAAAGTTTTTAAGGATAATAAATAATTGTAACTCCGAGAAAAACCTATAAAATATTTATTAAATAATGCAAACACGGGCTTAAAGAAAATGCGTTTGAATTTATTGAATTTATATTTATTTATTTATTTTTATTTTCAATTTATTTGCATATCTTTGAGTAGAATCTGATGCATTTATTTCTCATTCGCTTAGTGCTTTAGCATGAATTTCTTTTTTCCTCTTCTTTTTTTTCTATGTTTTTAACAATGAAGGGAAAACGACTTTAAAGAGGGGGAAAAGGGGGAATTAATGTTAAAATCAGCTGTTTATTCGGACACATTATTCATTCTTTTCTGATCAGCGATAGTTTCATGGTTTGTTCCTGGCATACTGGGAAAGTCCCATCAGCCATTCGTCAGAAACAGAGCTGGTAGTGAGCATGCTCGGTTCATCTGCTCCGCGCATTCTTTGTCTTGCAGGCACGACAGCTTGCAGGCTGCTGCCTCACAGTAAACAATGGACGAACAGAGTTGATTTCCGATACTGGGTCTCGCTATTTTCCACCCGACTAAATTTTTCTCTATTCGCCATTTGCCGCACTGCAAGATAGAAACGTGGAGAACACACCATGCTCCGTCTGAATGGAAGGCGAACGGATGCGATGGATACCGTTCAAGAGGGAAAGACGTAATTTATACTATTCAACTAACGTTTGGACACTATGTTGGAATACGGACTTTCCGTTACACTGTATCTACAGATATTTGCATATCATAAAGTATCCTGAGTGTTTATATAACAGCTGAGGAGCTAAGAACAAAAAATAATAATAATATGTTTTTCCTAGGAATGAAACCATTGATTTTTACTACTTTAATTTTGGCTTGGTGCCAGCACGTGCTCGCTGATAGGCGTCCTAGTAAAAGTGTGGTGACCACCAAATATGGTGAGTTACGTGGTACCATTGTGACTTTTCCCAATCGACGTCTTCAACCCGTCGAAGTATTTTTGGGTATTCCGTATGCAAGTGCACCTGTAGGTTCCCTACGATTCATGCCACCTGTGACCCCATCTCATTGGAAGGGTGTGAGGAATGCGGACCAATTTGGTTCCGTCTGTCCTCAACGTCTTCCGGATATTGCCAATGAGACAGAGGCTCTTCGCAGGATGCCTTGGGGTCGACTTCAATATCTTCGACGTCTGCTCCCTTATCTCGTCAATCAGAGCGAAGATTGTCTCCATCTCAACATCTATACGCCCGCATCTGGTGAGTAAACTTTAAGGAAACTTATTCATAAAGATTTTCTGTTTTTTTTAAATTTATTTTTACACTTTCAAATTTATTATTATTATNGAAGTATTTTAATAATGAACTTTCATATTTTAGCCCTTTTTTTAATTATGATTATATAATTGAAGAAAAACATTATATATATTACAATAGAATAAAACGAAATTGCGATTATAAAAATAATTATTATGACTAAACTTCGGTCATTAATTACTCGTCTAAATTATTTTTTTTTTCTCTTTTTTTCCTATGCAGATAAGAATTAAACGAAGAAGAAAAAATTTTATTTAATAATGGTAAAACATTATCTCTTCCCAAAAGATAGCTAGAGAAGTAAATTCCTTTTACATCTGGAACAGAAACCAATATACAATTTTAACCAATTTTATTCTGTTGCTATGACAATGGATAGATTTTTTTTACCCCTTTGTTGTATTGTTCACATAAATTTTACTAATCCCATTATGTAAGACAAAATAAGTTAGAGTATATTAAGTCTATGATTAAGTTTAATCTTCTTAAGAGTAAACCCTAACATTACTTAGGCTATTTTTTTCATTATAATATTCGATTTTCTTTCTGATTTTTCTAAGTGTCATTTACATACATATAAATAAATATTAAATATTATTATTTTTTTTACGAGTAACCCCATTAATTACTAATTTAATAAGATTATTGTATTATGAAGATTTAACGTTAAGTCAGATTTAAACTGTTATTATTGTTAATTAACACCGTTTTATAAATTTATGATGTATGTTTGTCCGTTTGTCTTCCTATTTAGTTATTTAATATTTAATTTGATTAGGAAGCAGATTACAGAACGTATTAAGGGATTAAACTTGCCCTAGATCAAATTTTGTCAAAAGGTTATCAGTTTATTTATTAAAGACCATTTTGAATAAGTTAGCATGAAACTGCAGCTACTTGTAATGAAAATTTAAATAGAAGTACTGAGAAAATTCTTGTAGAAATATCCCTCAAGGCACAAATATCCTATTTTGAATATGAAATTTATTTAATGCGTTATTAATTGAATAAATGCATGTTTTAATGTCATTTCAATAAGTAATTTAAAAATTAATAGTAACTTTTTAAACTTTGTCAAAAGGTTATCAGTTTATTTATTAAAGACCATTTTGAATAAGTTAGCATGAAACTGCAGCTACTTGTAATGAAAATTTAAATAGAAGTACTGAGAAAATTCTTGTAGAAATATCCCTCAAGGCACAAATATCCTATTTTGAATATGAAATTTGTTTAATGCGTTATTAATTGAATAAATGCATGTTTTAATGTCATTTCAATAAGTAATTTAAAAATTAATAGTAACTTTTTAAACTTTTTTTTTATTCTCCTTCATTGTTTTTAATAATCAAAATAATTACAATTATTTTGATTTTATTATAAATGTTATTTATCATTTATTATTACACTCTAATTGTTTTTACTTTAATTAAATATGGAGAAATAAATTTGAATTTAAAACAGAATTATTATTTTTTTGTTTGAAAATTTAATTTAAAATTTTATGTTTGATAAATTAAGAATTAAAGAAAATACATAATTATTTTTGTTGTGAGATTTATCATAAAATAT